CCCATTTTAGATTTTAAAGTTGTCCCCCGCCCCACCCACAGGGGTGGGGGTGGGGGGTCAATTTTGATATCATTCGATAGCTCTTTCAAAAATAGGAAATACGTATTTTTCCGTTTTCCGATCCACCCACAATTTCTCGGGATATTCAACCGTTCCGGGACTTTTAGACCACCCTGTATATTTAGTCGGGACTCGAACCCACGGGTAAAATTTGTCGATAAAATCACCGGAATTAAGTTAGCCTAGCGCTGGGAGTTCATATTTTAACGTATAAAACCTAGCTCAAACGATTGCTCCCGAATTGCTCCATTAGAATCCACAATTGCTCCATTTTTTAAATCAATAGTTTTCGAAATATTAACAAAAAAACATAAAATTTTTAATTTTCAATAAAAAACTTTTCTAATAGCTTTGTGCAATTCTATCCAGCATACAACGATTGCTCTTTAATTGCTCCTTATTGCTCCATCATTATTTTAATTATTTATTGCACATTTATAGAAAAATTAATTAAATTAATATTGACGACGTCGCCACCTATCGGCCGCCTATCGTAATTACATGGCTCTGCAGCATAAACGGCGGAAATATTCAAACAAAACGTAACAGTTCTTTCGTTTACAACTAATCTCAAAGAGTTCAATCGACATTTCCCATTGATTTTTGCCTAGAACAATTGTTCCTCGGTTGCTCCATAGAAATGATCAATAGCTCCATGCGTATAATTGATATGTTTGCAAAAAACCATTCATTTCATTGCAAAAACATATTTCCCATAGTCTTCTGCAAGTTTATTGTACATAGGACGATTGCTCCTTTATTGCTTCGCATTGCTCCATCGTTATTTCCACGATAATTAATTTGTGCATTTTTATTCCGGTGATAAAATCGGATATATTTAGTCCAGACTCGCTCCCAGGGGCAACGCTGTCAGTAAGGGGGAAAGTGTGCGGTGGTCTCGTCTATAATTGCTCCGGACCTTTGGCGATCAGCTGAGCTGCTTTCGCGAGAAGATCAAAATGATCCAGGGGTGCTTTCGCGACGTAGGTCAAAATGATCCGTGCTATGATTGGTCAAATCTGGAATTTCATTGAATAAAATTTCAATGTGATGCTACGAAATTTCAGATTCGACCAATCATAGCACAGGGTTATTTTAATCCGGATCATTTTGATCTTCTCGCGAAAGCAGCCCTGTCTATTAATCTGTGGCAGCGATCATGCAACTTTTCCTCCATAGTGGAGACACGAAAAATGCCAAGTTTTCACGCGAATATAATAATTTCATTCGTGTGAAACTTTTCACGTGGAAAATGAGCGAACAGAAACAGCCGTTTACAATCCAGAAGGCGGGGTAATTTTTGGTAAAACCAGCAATTCCGCCTGACGCGCATTTTCGGCGCGTTTTCGAAGGACGGTGACGGGCACGATGGTCGAATCACGTGAGTATCGAGCGGTCGAGACAGGCAGCGCGCGTTGCGTACGCCAGCACTTCCGTTTCCGCGGACGGTTACGTTCGCCATTTGGGTCGTGACCACAGAGTCGTGACCGTCATTAAGGTTAAGGGCCTGGGATCGTCGCCCGCGACGAAAGGGGAGGCCGACTGCTCCCTGGAGAACGAGCGTCTCGCTCATCGCTGTTCGCGTCACCCCTGTGCAGCACCGCATCGATTGCCGGCCGTCGTCACATCGAGACACGTTTTACTACTTTGGCACTGACAAAACATGGCTTATTGAAGAAGATGAAGGGTGCGCAAAAAGATATCGTTTCTCCGAGGAGAGGAGACGGAGGAGACCGTAGCTGCGACGAGGCGAGTCACCAGACTGATTACAGTCGATCCGCAAATGGACATAAGGTCAAAGTTCACGCTGTCCCCTGCGAAGGGGGCTGCTGCTGATGCGAGAAGGAACAAAGGTGCGTTGCCAGGACCTCGCCGCGTTCGCGCCTCCACGCGCGCCCCGCGTATACGCCTGCCTTACGTCGCGTGTCTTCTTTCCAGATGTCAATAAGAAGCTCCATCTGGGAACACTGCGCAGAAGGGAACCTGCTGGCGCCAATAACTTCGCTAACGATGTACAACCAACAAAGTACAATGTACAAAAAGCAAAAGATCTTGTTAAGAGACAGAGACCTAAAGGACAATATCATGGCGGTGCAAAGGAGAATCCCAAGGTCGTGGTCGGCGTACAAATTACGCTCCTACACTTGTCTCACGTTTATCCAACTGTACCTGTGCCTGTATACGTTACATAACTTGTATGTCCGCAGGTAGTGGAGGAGAAGTTACCTGAGCTTGGCTCAGTGTTGGTCCCAAGACGCAAAAAGAACGGCAATCACTTGCTGAATTTTCACTACGAGCGATATAGGGTGCAGGACGTACAGAGCAGGGATATAGGGAGACATGGTTCCAACAGTAATAGATTGCTGCCACCGGTGCAGCGGCATAAGTACTGCAAGGAACAATTTATACAAGCTAGGTAGTGATGATACGATATCAATGGCACTACCTACATCCTGATATCCGTCGTGTTGTCATGAGACACGGTAGTGTCTCGCGCCAAGTACAAGCTCGCTAGAACCGCGCGCGCGAGACCGACCGTGTAGTTTACGCGAGTACGCGAGTTGACGGGCCCACAGATTTTCGGATCTCAACAACGGCAGACCCGACGAACATCCAAGTGCACTTGATTGTTTATATATACAATATTATACAAGTTTGCAGATATCCGAATACTCGAGTATTTAGGGTACAATGGGCAGGCAAATGTACTATTCCAGATTGTTATTTATTCTTTGAAGACGTCTGTAGAGTATTAGATAGGTGCATTCGGGAACGCTTTAACGCTAACAGCGTCTTCTGTCTTTGGTCGACATATAGTGAGTGACGAAGAATGACTGATGCTGTCAGCGCTAATAGCGTCTACCTGTACGCAGCCTATGTGTAATATCCGAGAGATCTTGGCTTATTTATTGGAATTGGAAATGTACGACAGTATTGCTAAGTAGACTGTTTCATGCAAGACATTTTATTTTTTGGGTAGAATCTTTAGTTCGGGTAGAATTTACATTAGAAATGGTTAAGATCAAGTATCCAGATTTTGAGATTCCACCCGAAAAATGAGATGTTTTGCATGAAACAGTCGGCTTAGCAACAGCACCGAAGATCTCGAGTAATTAAAACTTGGTCTTAGCACTATTGGATATCGTACTAGAATTATGTTTAAATAAATGTTTGTACTTTTACGTATATATATTTTTTTTATGCGCATGTGGTAGCTGCCAATTTGTCGTGACCGCAAGCAGAGATTATTCCTTGCATTTGACTAACCCTGATATTCTTGTGGATTGGAAATCGATTGAACAAATTGTAAGTGCGTCCTCCATTGCAAGCTAGCAATTTTTTTGCGCCATGTTGCTGATACACAGAATTCCACATTCAATGTCTATGTATATGATTAAATTAATTTACAGATATTTCACAGTTCAGAAAATCTCTCTTGTCCAATTTGTTTACATCCACCAGTTGCGGGCAAAGTGACTCGCTGTGGTCACGTTTATTGCTGGCCTTGTATTCTCCGTTATTTACGTTATTGTCAAGAAACAGGCAATTACAAATGTCCAATTTGTTATGAATATCTCCACAAAAATGACTTGAAAAGGTAACTTTGTGTAAAATTGCAATACGTACTGATGAAACATTTATGAAAATATTTTGGGTATTTATAGTCGGATCTTACATTCAAGACAGTCTTGAAATTATCTGAAGATGCTGTATGGGACATTTTATCGGCTATGGAGTATCTAAAGATGATCTTGAGACAGTCTTAAATATAAGATCTGACTATGAATACTGGCCTTAGTTATGTATATGTCTTTTAGCGTGATCGAGATTACGCGAAGCACATTCAATTTGGGCGAAACGATCAATCTGTGTTTGATGCGTCGTGAAAAGAATTCCTTGTTTGCGACGCCTGTGAAATCTGCTGTTCAACCACCGACAACGTTTTTGTCTGTTTCTGAGAATGCTGATAATCAGATATATTCGAAACTTCTTATCGCAAATGTGAAAGATGTAAGTTCATAAAAGACTCGATGTATTGCGCGATACGAGAGCAATAACGTGGACGAACATTGTCTTCAGATTGTGAACATCATAGAGAGCGAGTATGCGGAATTACAACTTGAACTTGAGGACAATCCAGACATGGCCGCTGACATCAAGCAAGCGCTCGACGAACTATCGAAGAGGAAAGAAAAACTACTGTGGCAGGTAATATTAACTGTACAATCGTGTGAGCGTGTGTCACAGAACGAAATGAAAAATATGAGATGTATGTAAGATCGCAGAATCTAAAGACGCGGCATTGACTGAAAATACAACGGAAAAGGAAATTGCTGAGGAAACATCGCAGAGATATGACGTAAATGTCGACCCGTGTTACAAAGAGGACGACAAGTCTTTGGCAAAACAATCTTCGACGGACAGTGTTTCCAGTGATGGCCAGACAGTGTCGAGCCCTTCGAAATTTTCTTACTTTTATCAATGTAAGTAATTTCACAAATTCCCAACAGTTCAATACTTTTATGCTATATGATATTACTTCAGAGATAATAATGTTACAATAAACATTTTTAGCGGAAGATGGGCAGCATATATATTTACACGCGGCGAATGTGAAGATGCTGGAAATGGAATATGGCGCTCTGGAGGATTGTCCTCATGTAATAACGGGCAAGCTTCTCGAGAAGGAGGGAGGCATCTACACAGAAGAATTAAGACGAAGATTACGGTATCTCTGCCATTTACCAGTTACTTGTTCATTCGAATTGGTTGAAATCGAGTTAAAGCCGCCACTGGTATCGAAGGAAGTTCTTCACGCTTTTCATGGTAATTATTTATCATCTCTTGCAATACTCTCTTATTGTTTTGTGACTTATATCACAGATATACGGAATGATTTATTTAATGGTTGACATTGTTTTTTTTTACTTAGAGCAACTAAATTCAAGGCAGAAGTATAGAGAACAGAAGGAACGCGAGGAAAGAAAAAGGGAGAAAAAGATAATAGAAGAAGAAAATAGACAAATTGGCATATATCCAACGCCCAACATAGATATCGAATCTTATCAACATTTTCCTGAGTTGCAATCAGAGCTACAGTTGTCCAAGTAAACCTAAACTATTATTTTCATTTTATCGCTATATGTATATAGAGGGAAGTGCTCTATTACGAGATAGGATCCTAATATGTGATAGCGGGGTCTCCGTTAAATTAATAGGCATCGTCAGTTGATTCCATCATGAATTTATTGCCCTTTGAGCGAAATCTAGTGGAAAATTCATTGTTAGATGGTGTAATCGTTACGAAAATAGATTTGTGATTGGATTTGGGTGTTGAAAACCTGCTATCTCATAATAGAGGATTTTCCTCTCTATCTCTCGCTCTATAAAATACAGAATTATAATTTTATTTATCATATTCTGGTATAGCGAGAACGCGTTGTCACCGTCAGAATCTGCTATATCGAGTATCGCTAGCAGTCCAGCTTCGAGTGCGTTTGACGAAATCGCTCCTCAACAAGAAACGGATCTTTCGCGTGACCAGGCCCGGACGTTCGCTGATATAATGAAGAAATCGACAGTGCTGACGAAAATGTCTAATAAATCCGTCGATGCATGGCCGGCCGTGAAATCGAAGACGCATTCCAGTACGTCGAATGCGTGTTTCAACAAAGATGAAGAAGTACTGTCGATAAAGATCGATAACAAGTCTACTAATGCTTGGCCGTCTGTGGCATCGAGCATGTGTTCCGATACACCAGGTACCTCGTTTAATGAAGATGAGAAAAAACCGTACGTTTCTGAAGGTGAGTCGCATTGCCCTGATCGCATATTAAACTCAAGCAATTGTCTAGCCTTACAAGCACAGATGTTTCGATCGCTCGTGTAAATCTTTTGTTTGTTTTTTCTAGAAGCGAAAGACGAAGGTAATGCGTCCGGCAAGAAAAAGAAGAAGAAGAAAGGGAAAGGAACCGTGCTGTTTACGACTGGTATGACATCAGGCTATTCTTTATAATCATTGTATTATCGCATGACACTTTTATTCTATTCCTCGTGCGCCACACGCAATATTAGTAGAATTTTATTGGGTCGATCGTAGAAAGTTTCATTTCATTTACAGCTCTTGCCACCAATGTTTGACGTACTAAAAATACGTACGGCATACGTATCGAATGTCTTTATTTCTCTATACTGAAATCTATAAATTATTTATCATAGAAAAAAAAGAAAAATAATTATTTGTCAAGGTTCCCGTATTGTGCTCACGAATAAAATTTTACTTCATTTATACAATTGTTGCTTTATATCCCCTCTCTATTGTATACCTCCTACCTTTAGCATTAGCTTATTTCATTAAAAACGCAGATACAATGGAACAAAAAGTCATTCTCATTTACTCATTGAACTGACATTAATTAAAACGAGAAAGTCTGACGCAGATAATATCGGAGCAAGTTTACTTGTTTATCCTTTGGTATTGCTGCGAATGTTAAAACGGGGAAGAATCGGCATTTTTTTACTTGTTCAAGTACCGTTCGTATTGTTTGTACATTATAGGTGGAGTTGTATCAAATTATCGTACCATTCTATGATATCGGGATAAAGAGTAAACGTTCAATTTTGGTAATCGCTCTATATTTACGAAGTTCGGAACATAGAAGATTAACAACAGATCTCGAGAATGAACCATAATAAGTACAGTATGACGATAAAATCAATAAGTTAACAAGAGAATAATACATTTGAAGTAGAAAGTGAGATAGAGGAACTTGTTGAAAAGACGCCGCTAATAAACGCAAGGAATGATTAGAGCAAAAACTGCGGCTGTGTAATGGTTTAATATTCGTTTATTCGTCTCTTTCTTTTGCCTTCTTTTTTTTTAATCACGCATCAAGGAATGCGCAGAGAGCGACGGCGAGACGAAGCCAGGGACGATTCCTTTTAGTCGACTTCCTCGATGGTGGGTCCAGACGCGGCGCCGCCGCCGCTAGGCGCTCCGCCGGGAGCAGCGCCGCCCGCTCCAGGGAAACCACCTGGCATGCCACCGGGCATACCGCCGGCACCCTGGTAGAGCTTCGTAACGATGGGGTTGCAGATGCCCTCGAGCTCCTTCTGCTTGTGCTCGTACTCCTCCTTGTCGGCCAGCTGGTTCGCGTCGAGCCACTTGATGATGTCGTTGCACTTGTCCAGGATCGTCTGCTTGTCCGACGCGCTGATCTTGTCCTTGAGCTTCTCGTCCTCGACCGTGCTCTTCATGTTGAAGCAGTAGGACTCGAGGCCGTTCTTGGCCGCGATCGTCTCCTTCTGCTTCTCGTCCTCGCTGCGGTATTTCTCCGCCTCGTTCACCATCCTCTCGATGTCCTCCTTGCTGAGTCGGCCCTTGTCGTTGGTGATGGTGATCTTGTTCTCCTTGCCGGTGGACTTGTCCACGGCGGAGACGTTGAGGATACCGTTCGCGTCGATGTCGAACGTGACCTCGATCTGAGGAACCCCGCGCGGTGCTGGCGGGATGCCGCTGAGCTCGAATTTGCCCAGCAGGTTGTTGTCCTTGGTCATGGCGCGCTCGCCCTCGTACACCTGAATCAACACGCCGGGCTGATTGTCGGCGTAGGTCGTGAAGGTCTGGGTCTGCTTCGTCGGGATGGTGGTGTTCCTCTTGATGAGCGCGGTCATGACACCGCCGGCCGTCTCGATACCCAGAGAGAGCGGCGTGACGTCGAGCAGAAGCAAGTCTTGCACCTCCTCGGATTTGTCGCCGTGCAAGATAGCCGCCTGTACGGCCGCCCCGTACGCCACAGCCTCGTCGGGATTGATCGACTTGTTGAGCTCCTTGCCGTTGAAGAAGTCCTGCAGGAGCTTCTGGATCTTGGGGATACGCGTGGAGCCGCCGACCAGGACGATGTCGTGGATCTGGGCCTTGTCCATCTTGGCGTCGCGCAACGACTTCTCGACGGGCTCGAGAGTGCCGCGGAAGAGGTCGGCGCAGAGCTCCTCGAAGCGCGCTCGGGTGATGGAGGTGTAGAAGTCAATTCCCTCGTACAACGAGTCGATCTCGATGCTGGCCTGCGTGGAGGAGGACAGGGTACGCTTGGCGCGCTCGCATGCCGTGCGCAGACGGCGGAGGGCGCGCTTGTTCGAGGTCAGGTCCTTCTTGTACTTGCGCTTGAACTCCTGCACGAAGTGATTGACCATGCGGTTGTCGAAGTCCTCGCCGCCGAGATGGGTGTCGCCGGCGGTGGACTTGACCTCGAAAATACCATCTTCGATGGTCAGGATGGACACGTCGAAGGTGCCACCACCGAGATCAAAGATCAGGACGTTCCGCTCGCCGGTGGCCTTCTTGTCGAGGCCGTACGCGATCGCGGCGGCGGTGGGCTCGTTAATGATACGCAGTACATTCAAGCCCGAGATGGTACCAGCGTCCTTGGTTGCCTGACGCTGCGAGTCGTTGAAGTAAGCGGGGACGGTGATCACGGCGTTGGTCACGGTCTTGCCCAGGTACGCCTCCGCGGTCTCCTTCATTTTTACCAGGACCATCGAACTCACTTCTTCGGGGAAGAAAGTCTTCGTCTCTCCTTTGTATTGTACTTGGATCTTTGGCTTGCCGCTGTCGTTTACCACGGTGAATGGCCAGTGCTTCATGTCAGCTTGGATGGTGGGGTCCTCGAAGCGACGTCCGATCAACCTTTTGGCATCTGATTCAGAACGAAAACAGAAATTTACTAACATACTTCGACGAGAGCAAGAATACAAGCGTTTACTTGTATCCCTTGCTATCAAACGTGCACGTGAATATTTCACAAATTGCAATTTCCGTTTATCCGAGAAATGTATTGCAATTCACTTATCTCTCTTGCTCGTTTCAATCGGCGATAAATCTACCAGCTCATCGTCAAGTACGCGCGTCAATACTCGATATACTACGGTACCCTTGCATTTGTTCACTTAAAAGATTACTTATTTACGTCCTTCACTTTTACATTTCTCGCTCGGTTCAACAACAAACGGTTCATCGAATATGCGCGGACGTGCCCTCGCGAGGATTACAAGTTGCAAGTTTCGCTCGACGCGTATTCGACGTTCCAGATCTCGGTTATGTAAATCGATCACGGGCGTCGAGATAAGCTCGGCACACACGCGGAGAGGCGGAGATACGCCGCCGCGCTGATATCCCGCGAACGGCGCGATTCTCGCGAGACTCGCCGAGTCACCGTCTAATTTCGGAATATAATTAAAACTCTCGCGACGCGTGGCTTCGGACTCGGCACGTCGCCTCTTCGGCTCCCGCACCCACGTACACGACCCTGGCCCGAGTCGCTCGCGAGAGGCACCGGAGAGCCCGAGGATTCGGCGGTGCCGCGTCAGGGGGACGCGGACACGGAGCGAGGACTTACCGAAAATGGTGTTGTTGGGGTTCATGGCGACCTGGTTCTTGGCGGCGTCTCCGATGAGACGCTCGGTCTCCGTGAAGGCCACATAGCTGGGCGTCGTGCGGTTCCCCTGGTCGTTGGCAATGATCTCGACCTTGCCGTGCTGGAAGACGCCGACGCAGGAGTAAGTCGTGCCGAGATCGATACCGACTGCGGGTGCCTTCGCCATTTTTTCCTAAAGATTCTGCAAGGTAAACGTGGAGCGTTGGTCTTGGCGTAGCGCACGGGCGGGAGTTTACACGGACTGGGGGGGCCACGCGGACGGAGGAGAGAACGCGCGGCTTTCACTTGCTCGGATCGAGGAGCACGTACCTTCCTAAAACTGTCTTGAGAGTCTTGTAAAAATTGTGCGGAACAAACGAAGAGGTTCCTCGTGCAACGATTCGCAACGTTAGTGACGAGCCCGCGGCCCTACCCTCCTATATATAGACGGGCGGCAGCTTCTGGAACGTTCCTTCCGCGCGCAGGGGCCACGCGCCGGCGCTCTCGGCCAATCGCGCCCGCCGGCTTCCGTCCGAGTGGCCGCGCGATTCGTCGAGAGCGGCGTCCGCGGCCGCACCGACGGGGTCAACCGAGCGACCGCGGCCGTCGCGTATCGATCGCGCGCCGAGCTCCTGAGTCGCGGCGAGGCTCCTGCGGAGCGTCTCCGCGCGGGATTCGCCGGGTCCTTTACGATCGCGCGGCCGCGCGCCGGTCGATTCGGTCGATCGGTCGCGGAGCAAAGCGGCGGGGGAGATCGTCTGGCCCACGAAGTTCCGACTTCCGGCTGGAAGTCTGCGGAAGTCGGGACGACGACCTGGCGATTCTATGGGCGGGGAAGGGGGCGGGGGGACGAAGAGGGAAATCGGAGAGGCGTTCTCGCGGGCGCGAGCAAGTTCTAGCGACTCCAGCGCGACCGGAAAGGCCGGGATCCCCGCATTCCCTGCCCTAGTGGCACAGTGCGTTGGCTAAATATCGGGCCAATGTTTAACTAGTGCGTTAGTGCTACTGGGGTACGCCAGCGAGAAACGAGTCGTTCGATGGGTTCGATCGCGAATCAATCGGATCGTTCTCTCGGTTTCCCTGGAGGGGAACGCGAGATCCGGCGATCGCGTCGAGCCTCGTGTCGCACGATCCAAGAACTTGGCCCAAGTTCTTATAGTTTCGAGAAATGTGCATCCAATCAACCCGCAGCTATTCCATAAGAAACTGCAAGGTGGTTGGCTACGCGTTTCTCCGGTATTAGAATTTGGACGCAGTTCTTGGATCGTGGACACGAGGCTTTACGGATTGCGTCATCGCGACGGACGTTGACGAAGCGTCCGATGAGTCTCGCTATCTCGCACGATCGGTCCTCACGATTGCGGGCTCGATCGTGCGCGGGACTCACGAGCACGATGGTTTTTAGCCCGTGACTGTCGCGTTACGAGCGGAAAGTTTCATCGCGTTCTCGTGTTACGCGACGGGAGGCCCACGTGGCTGCGAGAAACCACGAGAAAGTTCTAGCATGTTCCAGCACGATCGATGAAACGTCCGCTAGTTCGATTTTGCAACGTCGAGTTTCCTTCGCCGTCGTCGTAAATAAATCGATCCCTACACGCGGAAATACCTTGAAGATTAACGCCCGGTTTCACGAAACGTTGCTTAACTTTAATCTTGCAATTAGTTTAATTCACGTTTGTCTCTTTCTAGAGTAAC